CCGAAGAGATCCAATTGTCGATTAACTCAGCCTGTGCCCGCGCTACCTTATCCAAATCCACCTGGTCACTTTGCACCTGCCATGGAATGTGTTAACGCACCTATCGACGAGCCCATTGATCCATATTATAATTATGATCGTAATCGCCAATCATCAATTCCGGGAGTAGTTCCGCTGGCCAACTTTGATTTAAACAGATACGATCGCGATAATATTGGCCAAGCTGGAAGTCCAGGCCGTCGAAGGAATGTCAGTATTCGTACATGCGTCGATTACGATTATGAGCCTGGACATCCTCAATATTCAAGTCGTCCGCCACCTCAAGATTGGCGTCATCCACACCCTCAATTTATGCCAGTACAACGGAATAGATATCCCCCACCTAGCGAATATGACTGGAAACCTGAAAATAGAGGATGTTCTCGATATCCAAGCCATAGATAGATTCTCCATTCAAGATTTTCAAAACACAAAATTAAATACCAGAACTTAAAATACCAAAAGATGCAGTGCTGCTATCAAAATTGATCGTTATGTTATCGAATAGCCACTACAATAGAAACATTCGGAAAATAACCAGAACGCTGTAGCGTGTTTGGTCCATAAATTTATATTTTAAAAATTTTGTCAAAACTAAAGAAGAAATGGATGATGGAGAATATGATAACGATGAGTGCGTATTGAATCTTCGAAATCTAAATTGATTGCCTTAAAATATCTTTCTACGCCAACCAATTTGCAGTGTCGGCGGCGATGACTTCGATGATGTCGATGAAGATGTAGACGAGGATATTGCCCAAGAGGAGGAAGTTGACAATATAGAGATCATTGCGCCCGGTGGCGCAGCTGGTGGTGGTGTACCCAAGTCCAAGCGCATCACCACAAAGTATATGACGAAATATGAGCGCGCGCGTGTCTTAGGCACACGGGCCCTGCAGATTGCAATGTGTGCACCCATTATGGTTGAGTTGGATGGCGAAACAGATCCATTACAAATTGCCATGAAAGAATTAAAACAGAAGAAAATACCAATAATAATAAGGCGGTTTTTACCAGATCATTCATATGAGGACTGGAGTATAGATGAACTTATCATGGTAGATAACTAGCGTGGTTAGACGTATAGAATTGGAATATACTTTCAAAATTTTATTTTTCGAAAATATAGATTAATTAGTAATAGCTGCCTAAGAAAATGTTGTATATTATTTTAAGACAGAAAGGTCAGCTCCAAGCATATCCCTCCCCTTTTTGATAACAGACACGTTCCAGCAACCCAACAGCATTTTGACCTGTCCGACAAATTGCGCTCACTACAGCGGGCAGTAGACCACAGTCGGACAGGTTTTGCTCTCCGAAAACCTGCAAGCATCCGGCATCGCTCTCCACAGCCTCCTTGGATTCGGCAGGAGTGGTAGTCTCGAGCAGCTTCTGCGTCGCCTTGCTGAAGGAGAGTGTATTAATACTGCTGGCCAGCGTGGCACTAAATGTGTGTCGCGTCTCGCACAGCAGCATCGCAACGCTTGGCAGGAACGTAGGCAACAGCAGTCCCTTAATATCAATGCTGTGGTAATCGATGCCATCGAGTCTTACTTTCTTGGAACGTGGCACCAAGTGCTGCATCGTAGCTTTGGGGAATGCAACAGGAGCCAAAAGCGTGGGTGGAACTCCCGCCAGGCGGCCCACGCTGGTGATTGTACTTTTGGCATTAAGTAAATAACTGAAGAAGCCTTGACACTCGACACCTTCGATCAGCAGCAAAGAATTGTCACTAAAATCCTCGGACATCTCGGCTGCCTGCAATTTCCTTGCGTGCGTCGTTTGTATGCGACGTAATTCGCGCTCATCCACGCCCAAACTTTCCAGCCAAGCATCATCATCGTCATCTTCATCGGAAATGTGTTCAATATCTTTGGCCTGGCCATTGGCTAGACCCGTTCCACTATCGCTGGTGTTTGCCTCGGTCTCTTCTGTAAAGCTGCCATTCGAGGCTCCTCCCTCTCCAGCGTCTTGTTGCTGCTTCAGTGGCATGCTGTACTCAATCCCCTCCTGCTGAAGTGCGCTGCGCATGCCACGAGTAGATGGTGTAACCAAGGCATGTGTTTCTGGTCGCCCGCCGGTGCCAGCTGCTCGAAATAGCACCGTAAAGGAATTGGCACACAAATAGAAGTATGGACATTGACGAGCACGAAGCAACTGAAAGAGTCCTCTAAAGCTATAGTCCCACTCTTCGGCCAGTGCTTTGCGCTCACGTTCACCAATCGTGATGCCATTATTCTCCTTAGCACTGCGTGGAAAGAGCGTAAGCCAAGGCAGATGCGGATGCTGCCAATAGTAGGTGCATTGATTGAATCGTGTTGCATCCGATATATCCAGGGTACTCTCCGTCTGGTTGGTGTCAAAGCAACGCACAAAGCTGGTCAGCCCGCTGGCCAGCTGTGAGGTCTTAAGTTGTGTGGAGGGGAGCTCAGTTGGACAGAAGAAGCGCACTCGCGTCTTAAGGCACCAATCCATTGGCAGATGTGGCGTATGCTTTTGTCGCGCTGCCAATGCGGCATCATCTTCCTCATCGGCTTGTGTGGCCTTTGCTTGATGCAGTAGCTTTGCAAATGCGTTAGCATCAAATTTTTGTAAACTTAACTTTGCCGCTGGCGGACGTGATGATGTCAAGCATGCTAAATTACTTGTTGCGGTATTCCTAAATTCGGATGCAGTTGCATCGTACGGTTGATCATCAATCTTTTGCTTCTTGGCGCCATCTGTGGATCTGTAGAAGCCAATGCATTAGAGGGCGAACAGCTGATTAAAAAAGAATACGTACTTGGCAAATGGGTTATTGCGCTTTTGTGCTATTTTGGCTTCCAGTAACTTGCTTTTATCATTATCATCCAATTCTGGGCGCTTGTTATTGTTGTTGCTGTTCACACGTGCCGCCAGTTGTTTCTTTTTTTGTTTTAGCCTCTGCAGCTTTATAAACTGAAAAATAAATATATTTATTTAAAAATCTATATCTTTGTGTTTCGAACAGCATTAAATACATCGTCGGGGCGCGTCCATTTGGAGCTTAAAATCCCATCGCTGGACATAACTGGAGATTAAAATAATTTTTGTCAGCAACAATAACAGAAGTCCCGCGTAAAATCTTTCTTTGTTGTTGTTTTGGTGCATTTTTGTGAATGTATCAAATTATGGATGCTTATCGATAAGTTGTATTCTAGTGCGCGATAATTTATCATTTTGTGTCCATCCCTAATCTGCCAAAAACATCTGTATTGTGTCTTCTACTGGTCAGATATATTTCATCTTTAAAACGCTGATACATACCTCTTTTTTCGAAACTATATACAACTTTAAACTAGCTTGAAAATTACTTCTTTGAAAAACAAATAAAAAATTTGAATTTACTCAAAACTTAACAGTAGTAACGGCGATATTTCCTGGAAATATTGCATGTGGGGACTGTAATTACCAGATTATCAAACTGTTAAGTTAACATAGTACCAGCCCATAAACACACTAAATCACTAAACGGAAAGATAAACAATTTGGGCTTTATTGCCAAAATGGATAACTTACACGATGTTTGCCGTGTATGCGCCAATAAAATAAAGGACAAGAAGCGCCAGCAGCACTTGTTCAACTATTTGCGAGGCAAATTACTCCACAATCTGAAACTCATTACCGGAGTCGAGGTGAGTTACCTTTGTTGGTATGTGCTCCACAATAATGATAAATGTTTGTTATAGTTATCATCCAATGAGGGCTTGCCAAAATATATTTGCGTTCGCTGCAGCAACGAATTGGACTTGGCCATTAAGTTTCGGGAGCGCTGCATCTTCACGCAAAAGTATCTCAAAGAAGTGTATACAAAGCGGCGTAGCATCGAACTGGTAGCGAAATCGACTGAGCCTGAGCTTCACGAAGATTTGATCGATGAGGAGCAGTTGGAATACCTCGATGATGATGTGCAAGTTTTAGAAGACATTAATGATTATGTAGCGGAAGATATGAGCGGCGAAGACTTTTTGGAGGAAACCGAAGATGTAGAAGTGGAAGTGACAGAGGAACAATCGAGTAAAGAGAAACAGCATTGGGTACTCCTAGAAGACAGTCGTCCTACTAAACGTGTGAGAAACTTTTTCATATGTGAAGAATGTGGAGAGTTTTTCAATACGGAGAGCTCCTACAATTTGCATATCAAGGGACATATGCAACAAAAGGAAGCCAAACGTTTCTTTCCATGCTGCAAGTGTCCTTCTACATTCAACACTAAAATCGCCTTGAAAGCCCATCGTGAACAATTTCATACCGGCGATCGGCTTTTTAAATGTTCAACATGTGGCGAAACGTTCATGCAACACAGTGCCAAGCAGAGGCATGAAAAGTAAGTGATTACCACATGTTTGTCTGTTGCTATAGCTTATATTTAATTAATTTATAATCTTTGACAGAGAGCACATCAATGAGAGACCGTATCCCTGCTTAGAATGCGGCGAAGCCTTCCCAAGTTTACTCGAATTTCGTGCACATTCTACAAGTCACGATTTACGAACATTTAGGTAAGACTGTTATTCTATATGTATTATACTGGAATTACAATACACTCGTCTCGTTGCAGATGCGAGCCATGCAACATGGACTTTAGAACACGCCAGAATCTCGTATCACACTCAAATACATATACACATAAAAGAACTCTGCAGCAAATGCAGGATGAGCTTGATCTGCTGTGCGGCGAATTTCAAGATGAAACTGGTTAATTAGTATTATAAATATAATTTTATTAACTAACATTAAATATAAGTTAAATTACCATTTAATGCACTTTTGCACAAGTGCAAAAAGACATTAACAGAAGCTTTGGCTAACATAATCTAAATACAAGAGCTTTGAATAACCAAAACTTGCGCATGCGCCTGACACACAATTTTCCATTTTCCCAAACTACCCTATATATGTGGGAATAGAAAAGCACTTTGCGGGTATTCAGTGTATTCAACTGGTTGTCAGCACATCAGAGGGCAACAACAGCGCAATTGGGGTTTATACGAAATAAATACAGCTGGTGCAACCGAAAAATCAATAAGTCTTTCCAACTCATACGTAAGCAAAGATAACAGCTCGACAAATGCGCAATATGTTGGCCCAGTCGAAAGGTATTTAAAATAAATGCTTGAAGAAAATATATATTTATATGTGTGTGAATTAATTACAGCTTTTGGCATGCTGCTTGGCTGCCTTGTTTTGCTAATGGGCAGAGCCCAGGTGCACGCCTATGACTCCAAGGACAGCATCTTTGCTGATGTCCTGTTGACCGAGCTGTTGAATCGCATGGATAATGACATGCAGGTGGGTTACTACGATGTGGATAATGAGGGCGACTTGGGAGTGGCGCCTGCTGCTGGAGCTGGTCTAGGCAAAGATAATGTGGATCTGGTGTCGCGCTCCGAATACGCCAGGCTTTGCAATGGCGGCAGCGATTGCTTGCTGCAGTCGGCCAATACCAATCCGTCGCTGCGCGATCAAGAGTACCTGCAGCACAGCTCGCTGTGGGGACATCAGTACGTGTCCGGTGGCATGAGCGAGATGCCCAATAGGTACAATACGATTGTAAAGACCGATGCCAGTCTGCCAGCCTACTGTAATCCACCCAATCCCTGTCCCGAGGGCTACGACATTGAGCAGCAGGGCGGCAATTGCATCAGCGACTTTGAGAATACGGCCATCTATAGTCGCGAATTCCAGGCTGCACAGGACTGTACATGCGACAGCGAGCACATGTTCGACTGCGCTGATCAGGATAATGCCGCAGGTGCCGGACCAGGCAACAGCGATATGAACTCGGCTGTGGAGAAATTCCTAATGCATCAGTTTGGCAATGAAAATGGATTGGAGAGCTCCAATGGTGTGGTCAAGAAGACTGGCCATTTGGCCGGCCTACGCATGGATGCCATGCCCAATCCCTTCCTACAGGTCGGCCCGGATGATCGTCTACCCATTGCAGCTAAAAAGGGCAATATGCTCTTTCACTAATCAGGCCACAATGAACCAAACATATATATATATATATTTATGCACTTACTGTTTGGACATATTTGTAGACAGTGTTCATTTATAATAACTTATCAAAGTCCTTTCTAAATGTTATCTCATATACATATATAAAGCTCATGGCAGCTTCCAAGGTACCAAATAGAACAATTAATCAATAATAAATTATGGCTAGAAGCCAGCTACCAAAACAAGCCATTATATCATTTTATGTATTCGTATATATTTGACAATAATTGGTTTTATTTTAATAACTACTAGGTAAATATAGCAAGATTCATGTATATATTATAAATAGGTTTTCCAATCCAGCTTTACAATGAGTATTATCTGTCAGCATTCACTGGTATTGTGTGTTTTAGTAGACAAACCCAACTTTTGCTTAGGGCGCCATCATCACAATTTCTTAAAGCTAACCTAACAAATGATATAGTATAGATATCGTATATGAAGACTGTGAATTGTGTATTCGCATACGATTCACGATTCGATAAGTACAACTGGCAGTGTGATTAGCTTAGCATAATATTCGTTGTGTATATAACATGGCTCCAGCCATGTTCTTTCAATATACATTCATACATACATACAAATACAAACATACCTACATATTTCGAAATATACAGGTAAACAAAACACGTCCTCTGACTATAAACTCCAATTCGATGCGTGAGATTCAGAAAAGTCGCGTCATTTGTTCATAGGATTGCTAAATTAAACACTAATATTCTAGATGGATTCCATATTCGTCTGATATGTAATTCACAAACGTCCCGTATTATTCCCATTTACATTTTGGCCCCATGACACCTGATGGGGATTACGGGTGGTTAGCCGCAGAGAGTTGCCATCGCCATCCTCGTCGATGACATGTTCGTAGCCCTGATTTATAGTTCCCCCGCCATTCGAGCCATAAATTTGCTGTAAAGAACGTAAGCGTATAGTTTGTATGAGGACAAAATAGTCGGGCATGAGCGGTTGCATTATACTCGTTCATCAAATGTAAAATTTTAAGGTACAGAAATATGTTCACTAATAAACATCTTAATTTAGGAAAACAAATTCTTAATTATGGATGAGGGGAAGTATGCATATACGCTTAACAGTTTGCGAACGAGTATAATATCAGCTATTCATTTCCGATTCAGCAACTCACCTCTGCAGGTCCCCCATTCACATTGAAGACATCCTTGATGCTGATGCCCGCATTGGACACGCGTCCGCTGCGCGGATTGGGCAGGACCCCATTGTTGTTGGCCTGTCCGAAAGTAATCTCGTTATAGTTACAAAGAATATTAGCGAGTCTGTTTTGTACTTACTGCAGGCACTGTGGTAATTCCGTACTCGTTTTTGGCGCCCAGCGTTTGCATTGCGGATTTCCGTCGTTCCGCCATCACGGAATTCTTTCGCACCTCCAAAGCGCGTATTGTCTCCGCTCTCATAGTGAGGCGACGCGTCAGAATGGGCGTGGCTGGATTATTCTCAGCATCGGCGGTTAGCTTAAGGAAGCGCTTCTTGAATGCCACATCCAAGGTGCCAATTTGACGACGAGGCTGTCGAGCTTTCTCCAAATTTTGAATGGTCTTGCGTCTGGCTATGCGATCAGGTCCCGAGCCGGAATCATTGTCGTAATCCCCATCAATGCCTTGCAAACGTTGCAGATTCTTGACTATTTCCACAGCGTGCTAAAGAGAATATAGGTGACAAATTGAATATATGCAAATATATGTATATATATACCTTATCTATTAGTTGATCTTGCGTTAGATCCTCCGATTTCTTTTTGCAGAAATTCAATTCCGTAGAGGCCAGGATATGAGAGAGAGTGCCGAAACGATGGAACAACATGGCCGTAAATTGTATTACCAAAATCAGGGCAAAGAAGAACACAAAGACGAGACCAATCGGCTCCAGCTGCAAATACTCCTTGGAAATGTGCACCTGTATGGGGAAAGATGTAATTCTATTAGCACAAAACTCTATAGCAATATGAAATGATTTGTTAGTAACATTGAACAATGAATTGATTGAACGATTCTTCGATTGGAGAAATGGCAGACTATAGTACCAAATTGTCGGTGATAGGGCTATGTTTAATGTGTGATACCATAGATATGTGTGTGATAGATATGACTGGACGCATATCTATATGCCGGCATGTATATTAATGTCTATACATTGAGGCTAATATATTATTCTAATTGTTTTTTTGTTTTTTAGAGTTTATGGCACATTAGAATCTTGAGCGTTGATATGATATAGTATTGTTGTTGTTGTTGCTGTTGTTGGTGGTGATGTACCAGAACCATTAGGATGGGTTTTTTTTTTTCAAACAAATTAACAGGAAGTAAACACAGGAATGCCTTGTAAACACATAGAATAGTAGGATCATACATATATAACATTAGAAACATTCCTTGGGTAAGTATATATATATGTGTAAGGAGCACATTAAAACGTATATAGTGTGTGTGAGAGAGAGAGATAGAAAGAGAACGAGCGAGCCGAAGAAAGTTAGAGGTCCCGAATAGGTAATTCGTTTTAGATAAGTTACACAAACAAAACAGTGTTAAACAAAAGTTTGATTGTTATTGAATTTAAAAACCTCAGATGTCTCTTCGATATACGTAATGTTGGTTTTGACGCCCAACGGCCATATAATATGCAATTTATCCTTATTCAGTTGCAATAAGAAGACAATCAATACAAATAACGCGTTGGCCATAAAAAACGCAAAGACCGACTTATTCCGCAGTTCAATCAGATCGGCGGCAATGCGGGCCTGTGCTCACACACAGTTATACAACCGATATATATAGAGAAAGAGAAAAAAAAAAAAAAAAAAAAAAAAAAAAAAAGAAACTGTTAGTAATGCTTGTAAGGGACTCAATTACCTCCTGAGTGGATTCGTCATAGGTTATATTGGTGCGCACACCAAAGGGCCACTTGACGTGAATGTTGTCCTTGTTCAATTGCAGCAGGAACACGATCAACACGAAGAGGGCATTGATCATGAAGAACGCAAATACAGATGAGTCGCGCAGCTCTTTCAGATCTTTAGCTATACGGGCCTAAAATTATTTTATCGGCAGGTGTTGCGGGTAGCATAAGACATTCACGATCTGCACCTAGTTGGTAAAACTAACTACATATGATAATTGGCTTACCTGCTCCACGGGATCATTGTCAATGGGATATAAGTACTGATCGATCAGATCCTTCCAGAACTGGATCTCCGAACTTGACAAGAAGTCTACCTCACCCTTACGCACATCCGGATCCTCGATCCAATAGGGATTCGTCAGAAAGTCTCGTTCCTGCTTGGGCTCCGCCGATGTATCCGAATCCGATTCATCCGACTCATCGCCCGATTTCTCAGCCACCGATGTTAGCAAATGATGATCCTTCGAGCCGCTGGACGTGGTGCGTCGTCTATTGTGACGTGATGCATGATGGCCATGTGGATCCACGGCGCTCTCGATGCTGTCAATACGGTTCTTGATTGTATCCAGAGATTCGGCTATGCTCGCCAGCTGCTGCTTCTCGTCGGAAGTCTTGCCGTGCGTGCAAAACACGCAACGGAACAGACCAGCCAGGGAGAACTCAATGGAGCCCTCCTCATCGTCATTGTCGCCAATGCCACTCTGCAGGAAGCCCAGCATGCTCTTCTGCTTCACTCGCTTTTTGGCTTCCTCGGCGGCCTTCTTTTCCGCTTCCAGCTCTTTCTTGGTCTTTTTAGCGACCACCTCACGGGTGCCCCAGGAGACAACGTTCAGATTGATGATAGAGTACAGAATCAGCAACAGGTACATAGATGGTATGGATAGCAAATATATCAAGCCGCATGTAATGCACCAGAACTCTTGCGGATGCAAACATGCGGCTATGAAGAATGACCCCACCATGGATATCAAAAAGATGGCCGAGGGCGAGCCTATACCGTCCTCGCCTAACTGCAGGGCCGTACCCACAATCACAGCCATCATGATCAGAGCGTAACAGGTGGACAGCACCTGGGCCACGAACAGTTGTATATTAGCCTTGCAGGTGAAACAAATAACCATAAAGGCCAGAATGGGCACGATGTTGTAGTGGAACGAAGTCCAGTTGTCGATTCTAAAGGCGGCGACAAAGGCACCCACTAACATAAGGAAGATGGTGCCAGGTCCCAAGATGGTGCCACCCATCAACATCATCTGATAGAAGACGTACAGCAACGAGATATTGTCGTTGATTTTGATCGTGCGCTTCGCATCGCCGAGCAGATCCATGATGTTAGCTATGGTCGAGGGCACCCAGCGACGTCGCTGGTTGTAGAACTCATTGAAGCCCTCCGGGCAATGCGTGTAGGCATCCGAGGCAGCTGAGTACTCAACACGATAGCCACGCTGCAGCAGCAAAGTGCAGAGCCAGCGATCCTCGCCCTGATCGTACTGCACATAGTGACGCGCTTCCGTTGGTTTCGTTGTATACTTCTTCATCACATTGTCGTCCATCAGGGCCTTGCCGCGGAACAGTGAGAAGCAGCCGGGTGAACAGAGCACACAGCCAATCATGTGCTCCGTTGCCTTCTGCAGCCAATGACCAATGGCGTATTCGAAGAGCTGATACCACACCATGGGTCCAGAGCCCACCGGATGAATGCGTCCGCAAGCAGCGCCCAGATTGCGATTCTTCTTCATCAGATCGACCAGCAGCGTGACAGCATTCGGCTTGAAATCGATATCGCCGTCCAGTGTGAGCAAATACGTATTCTCTGCAATGGCATCCTTGCGATCCACCGAGATGGGCAGCTCCATGAGTCGATGGCCGAGCAGATAGTACATGTACATGACCTGGGACCAACGCTTGCGATGACGAATGCGATCCTTGTCCTTCAGATGTGCTATGAACTTCGTCTTGCCCGGCAACGTCCAGACCAATCGACCGCCATAGGGCGTCGGGTATTTCTTGGGTGGACGCAGTCGAATTGTAGTCTGATGTATCTCGGAGGCAGCCTCATCCATGGTACCAATTAGGAGCTTGACGAAACGATTGCACTGAATATCATCGTCACTGTGATCCGAAATCTCAAAGGCATCATCAAAGAATATGTGAGCTGGAAGAGTAATCAAAGTTGTTAAGGAATTTAATTTAAAGAGGGACTCTACTTACTCTCGAACTCATAATAGTCTGGATCGAGCACTCGCAAATA